GATGGGAAAGTGCAAGGAGCAAGAGAGCATGGGTACCATTGCCTTGGTTTATGTCCGCCAAGAGAGACCTCTTCACAGCAGTGTTCCTTGCAGGTGCCCTGGACAGATCAAGCATTGGAAATTCTTTGGAAAGCATTCTGCATTAGGAAAGAGAGTTTCTTAAGAGAAACTCTTAACTTCTGAAATTGAGAGGTACAGAGAAACACATTTATGTGCTATACAGCCACCAACAAAAATAAATAAAAATTGCTGCTTGCTTGAGCTACACAAGATCCTACATGCAAATAGACTACTTATAAAATATCACATGAAATGATGTTTCTCAATTAACATGAGAAGCACTTCACCAAAATTGAGATCCTACTTGCCCCTTCTCCACAGAGATCACATTAGAAGACTAGAAATGTAATGAAGACTGAAGATGAGCTTCAGGATTTTTGTGCTGATCCCCACAATCAGGTACATGACTGAACTACATCTCAACAGCCACATGGGAAAGAGAAAGCACATCAAGACCATGCGTAGTATTTAAAAGATGCATACTCCTTGCCCTCCCCTAGATCCTGAATCCTGAACGATATTCCAAACCACCACTATTAATACTTTCTACATAAGCTTCTTGTGCTACCGGTCATATATTAAACAGATACTGCAAGTCTCTAATATTTCTTTCTGGATCAAGCATGGGAATAGCACGGCATATATATAGTGTAAGAAATAGAATGTAAATATTAAAGCTACAATTCAGATGTTAACTCTTTAAGAAATATTATGGGCATAATAATATAACCTTATTTCTCTCCTTTTATTGGCTTTTTTTTTTTACCTGATGCTTTTGACATTATGTTGAACCCTGCACACCAGCACATTTGATATATTGCCACAATATAACAAGTACAAAATTCTGCTAGGTGGGTAAGAAAGAAAAATGCGAAGTCACTTTGGGTTATGTACTAGAACAGAATTTCTTATCCCAGCTTGAAGCTAACTCTAAACTCAATCAAAAAGCAGAGGACATGGATCTGACTACCTAAATAATCTCTCATGTTATTGGAACTGCTGTAAGTATACGATTAAGACTTCAAGCTTTTTCCTGACCCACTGAGCTCAAAATTACCTCAGTGGGGCAGGGAAGAGCCCTTTCACCTTGGTAAAACCACCTTAAGATAAATACTGCTTTGGACAAACACAACAATCCATCAGCATTTTTCCCACTGCAAGACCAGAGTCTAATCTGGGGAAATGCAATGAAGGAAGACCTAAAAATATAAACCATTCTAGCCTTAGTCACTGAAAAATAAAATACAGATTGTTCTCTTTTGTTCAGATATACTTGCAGAATGTGTCCTTTGCCTGGTGACGACAGAAAGTGGTCCTGAGACAGAAAAAATCCAACCTCTTAACCAGGACAGTCATGAAGCTATGTGCCTGTATGTATACTGAATATGTAATTCATATGCTTATCAAATTATTTCCCTATTTAATTCAACACAATGTAGTCTCATTTCATTTCTGCTCACCTGTTTTGAAACACAAGAATGCAGTAGTTTGTAAGTGACAAACAGTAAAGAAACAATCTTTTTCTTTTTTTTTTTTTTGTATTTTAAAATCGATTTTTAAAAGTCCTTAAGCTGAGTAAGAGAAGCTCAGGAGAGGATGGTTATAAATTTCAAAGGTCTGTCTTGTATATACACAAAGAACAGCAAGCAGCACCAGGTGGTGTAGATCATCTGGTTTTGTGTAAACAGACTGAAGCCTCACAAAGGTAATACCTAGAGGAATTATTTTAGTTTTTCATCTGCAAAGACAGCAACATTCATCAACCAGCAAGTCATAGAGGTACATTATATTTCTCAAATATGTTGTGTCCACTGACTACTGAATGGTTGTTCTTTCTAAAAACAATCACTAAACATCATTGTCTAAGACCCTGGGACAGTTCCTAAAAGCTATGAGATTAAAAACACCCTTTTTTGTACTCCGTCTTTTACAGAAGGAGCCAAATTTGCTTCCGACACAGCTCAAGTGACACAAGTCTGAGCCCTTTGATAGAGCTTTCCAGAAACGAGGAGAAACACAAGTAATTTACAGCTATTTCCCTTCTACAGTTATATCATCAGAATATAAAACTGTAATTTTAGCAATAAATATGAGTCATCATTTAGCAAAGAGTTGAGAATAAATCTGGCTAATTTATCAAACCAATTGCTGAAACATCGATAGTGCTGTTAATGGAAGTTGTTATTAGATGCCTTCACCCAGGGGAGAGTTGCTTTAAAAATACCATCAAGGGAAGTGTTGGATATGAAGTTGTATCCAATTTATTTATAAGCTGATAGCTATGGATGCTTCAATCAGTCGATCCAAGCTTTTATTTAAGTGGAGAGTCCCAGCATTAGCCTGCTATAATTTGAAACTGCAGCTCAGGTCCCAAGCCTATAAATTTACCACAAATGCATCAGCTTCAGTAGGACTGTTCTCAGGAGGGTTTGTATACCAGACTTTGAAATCAGAAAGGAGATTTACTCTTAGAAAATCCTGGTGCAATTCCTTACTTATTCGTAGACTGTCCGCAGGCCCAACCACTTCTATACCAGCAAAGCTTTGCCACTCATGCTATCTCAAGAAGCCCTCTCCATGCCGATGTGGCTTATCGTTAGAAATAAGTAGGTGAACTGCAGTCATCACCTCTAGTGAGGCTACAAGTTTATACAAGTTCATCAAGCAAAATTAAATGTCAAGTAAGAGTACCCTGACAGAGATGGAGTTCTTGAAGGCCCTAAGACAGCTACATCTGCCAGAGGGACCAGACACTGACAGTGCTTTGGGCTATGGAAAACTGGGGAGGATGTACAAGCCCCTGTTCATTCTTCTGCCCATTCCCACCACAGCTGCAGCCAGCTCAACCACAAAAAGCTAAGAGCTTCTTCTGCCCATAATATCCCCCTGCTAAGGTCACAGCCTTAGCCTGCTGTACTAAGAACATTTTCCAACATAAACCTGGTATCATACCACCCATGCCCAGGCCAGAAACTCAATGTTGTGTTCGTGCCTCACTCAACAGTCAGCTCATAGCAGGATTTAGGCCCACACCCCTACTGCTACTATTGAAACCCATAGGAAGATTTGCCATCCACTGAAAGCAACATTTTTTTTTTTTTTAAGTGACGTCATTATCAACTGCACAAAATGACATCCCTGGCATCTATGGCAACAGGCAATCAAAACTGATTTAATATCAACTTTTACCAGGAAAACCAAACTTGGTCTGGAGGAAGCTGATGCAAACACACAGGACTTGGCACTCAGGCTCCGCGCAGTCAGGCACAGCAGAGAGCCCAGTGGTGTCCCCATCCACCACTGGGAGAAGCTAAGAATTCGTAATAACATTCCTATACTTAGGATAAATTCTTAATACTTGGAGTGTTTTAAATGGCATACTTACTGCCATTCCTCATTATGACCTAAAAGAGCAGTCAAACGAGTCATTTTGGTATATAATACTAGGACTGCTCTGAAAAGATTTCCACCCACTAACAACACAAACCCATTCTGGCAATTCAGCACATCTGAGCCGAATACGAAGGAATAAAGATTGGTTAAGTTCAAGTATTTTTTATTGTGTCTAGAAGCAGTATCCCTCTAAAGCAAAACAATGCTCATGAAATTTATGAGTTCTGTGAATCTCTGCTACCCAAAGTGATCTCGACTTTTCCATAAATTCTAGTATTTGCATGAAATTTAGGTACTGATGCATTGCCTATCTTCCTTTTCCAGATAACATGACTTATGCAATTAATTTATTTGAGATACCAAACCGCTCCTCAAACTCAAATGTATTATGTTATCAATATTACACAGAGATGTGTCAGAAGGCATATACTTTCCAGCAAAGAGAACCCATCTTTAAATATAGCCAAACGCTGGATGCCTTGATATAGGAAGGACTACCCACAGCCTGAACGAACAGCCCCTGCAGGACTGGATACCGGGCTAGATGGGCTTTCTGAACCGCAGCCGTGCACAGCAGCTCGTCTTGGTGATGTTTTTCACCCGGTATCGGCGTACCAGGGGAAAATTAAGCTGTGCAAAGGCACGCAACAGAGACTGAAAATGTGGGATGCAGATAGCTATGCTCCGCAAGCCCGCGTTCAGAGTTCAAAACACTAAAAAAGGGTGGAAAAAAAAACAAAACACCACCACTCCTGGTGTCAGAAATACGGTCCGAGCTAGCCCGTGTCAGGTGTTTGTGGGCAGGGGATGGCTCCGCAACCCGGGCCTCCCGCGGGGCCGCCCCTGCAGCATCGGCAGCGCCCGGCCGCTGCCCCCGACCCCTCTCGGCTGCGTCGCCCCAGAGCAGCAGCCGCAGGGCTGTGGTAGCGAAAAACTTGGCTTTGGCGGTGCTGAGAGCCCAGCTCAGCTCTGCCCCCGCCAGCCGCCCTCCTCACGCTGATGTTGCCCGAGCCGATCTCGTTCCGCAGCGCCCCGGTGCCGAGAGGAGCGGGGATGCCCGGCGGTCCCGGTCCCCGCTTCCAGAGGCTCGGCTGCCGCCGGGATGCGGGCAAACCCCCCCGGGAACCCCTCCCCGAGCCGAGCGGGGCCGCTCCCGATCCATCTCGCCCCCGGCTGCGGTGCGGAGCCGGCCCCACGGTGGCTCCGCCACTGGCACCGGGCGCACCCCGCTTCCCCCGGCGCTCAGCAGCACCCGGCTCTGCGGGACAGGACCCCACCGCTCACGGCTCCCCCCACCCTAATAAAGCGGAGCACAAACTCCTGCGGGACCCCGGGAGCTTCCCGGCAGCCCCCGACGGTTCTGCCCCTCGCTGGGGTCCCCGCACAGCTGCCTCCCCTCTCCAGCCCCATAGGGATGCTAAGCGGGGCTCCGGCCCCTCCGCCCCGAGGGTCGCCCTCTGCCACCCCATCACTTGCGCCCGTCTCGGCGCAACTTCGCCGGGACAGCGGCCGCCCCCTCCCCGTTCCCTTGGCGCCTCGGGTCCCACCTGGTCGGGCTGCGGCGGCGGCGGGTTCCCCCTGCCGGGGTGCGCCGGCTGCTCCTTCATGGCTGTCATCGCAGGGGGCTCGGCTCGGCTCGCCTGGGCTGCTCACGCCGCCTCTCGCTGCCGCTACGGCCCCGGGCAGCCCTCCCCGGGCGCCAGCCGCATGTCACCAGCCTCCCCTGGAAGTGGCGCGGCGGCGGATGGAGGAGGAGGAGGAGGGAGAAGAGGAGGAAGGAGGAGAAATAAGAAGGGGGGCGCGGGGCTGCCTCTACCGCAGCGCCTCCGCTGCTTAGGGGGCGCCCGGCACCGCCGTGCCCCGCACCGGGGGCTGCCCGAGCATCACCGCCGGGCGCCGGCCGCGGAGCGCCCCGCTCCTCCCGCACCGCTCCGCTCCGCCCGCCGGGGGCCGGCCCGCCTCGTCCCGCCGCCGAGCAGCCAGCAGGTGTCACAGCGGTGCCCGCCGGCCTGGGAGAGACCATTCCGGCAGCATGGCACGGGGGCGGTACAGCCCCACCGCCCCCGGCCCCAGTGCCCCGAGAGGCACCGCACGGTGCACACAGACCGCGGTCCCGGGGGCAGTGCGCTAGTGTCCTTGTAGCCGGCTACAAAGGGTTTTATTTTGGAAGGGTTGATAACGGGGGAGGTTTGTTTCTAAGCACGGAAAAGGTAAAGGCAGGTGGTAGCCCAAGGGATGGTGGCCACGAGTCAGTGAGCATTGTAAAGGAAGGAGAGAGTCAGAGCATGGAGGATGGGGTGGGCTGGTTGGTGATCCTGACAAACAGAACTGTCACTGTGCAGGAGGGGGTGTGCTGGGGGGGCAGCGCAGGGCTGGTGGGGACAGCCCCAGCAAGCTAAGGTCCCTCCAAGTGCCAGGTGGAAGGGAAGCTTGGAGCACATACCATGAGAAGTGGTGGGTTGCACTATTTTCCACCGAACTGAGAAGAAAGGTCAGTTCCAAGTGGGTGGCACAAGCAATTAATAGCAGTGACAATGACCAAGATTTCAGCCTACAGTAGGAACACAGGACTTAGGAATTACAACCCAGTCAGCCCCACAACACAGAGCACTGAGCATTATTTCCGCATCACCCACCACTGCATCGACTCCTCCACCAAGAACAGACGCAATTTCGTTTCAAGCTCCAATAAAAGTTCTACAGAAAATAATCAGATGAACTTTGCAAGCACCTAGCCGAAAACTAGATGCTGACTAATAGCCACCATTAATTTGTCAAGCGCAGACCATGTCAAACAAATCTAATTTCTTTCCTTAATAGGGTAACAGGCCTGTGGATAGGAGAGCAGTAAATGTCATCTATCTTGATTTAGAAGGGCTTCCAGCACTGCCTTCCAGGACAGTTTAGCGAGATAGAGAAACATCATGTGCATAAAACTGAGTATCTGATCATCTCCCACAGCTACCAGCCACAAGGCAAGCAGCAAGGGGCCCCCAATGACCCCCTGAAGGGGAGCTGCCCATGTTCCCACCAGTACCAGGGTGGTGGAGCATGTTGAAATGGATTCACGAGCAGTGTGAAGCTGAGGAGGATGAGCAGCATCTTGGAGAACACCAGCAGAGCTGAAAGGAACTGAACCTGGGCTCAAAGACTTGCAATTGAGTCAGAAAGGGTGTGTGCAAGGGATGGAGAACAGCAGGCTGGAGCACTTTTTTGGATGAGAATCAGGGAGTTATGGAGGATCTCATCAGGACACTGCCTTACATTCAGTTCTGTCATGAACATGACAGTGCCCTGTGACACAGGAAGAAATCCTGACCTTGTCAATGGTGGCAGAGCACTGGACAGCATATACAGGGGCAGAGTCAGCAAATGCACCGCGACACAGACGTGTAGCAAAGATAACCAGAGGGCTGGCAAACACACCCTCTGAAGAAAAGCTGAAAACTATTGGGATCAGTTAGCATAAAGGAGAGAAAATTTATGGCAGATACAGAAATACTGGTTGAATGCTTAAAAGGTACTGTGAAAGAATGAAAAGAATCTCTTGTGTACAAAGTGGATGGAATAAATAGTAGGTTTAAAAAACAGGAAGAAAGATACACGTGGAATATGAGGAAAAAAACACATTTCCAAATGGTGGGGCAGGAGCAAAACAGTGGCATGGGCTACCTGTAGAGGTCTGGGGGCCTCCAGCCCCGAAGCTGGATAAAAACATCTCCCCAGAGCATGAGGAGTACAGATGGTGCCACCTAAGGTAGAAGAACTGTCTAAATTTAGCAATGATCTCTTCCTTTCCAGTATGATGCCGAAGCTCACTTGCAGCCCACTGCATGCGACCCACCTTCAGGAGCTCACGGCGAGGACATACGTTACTGACCCCAGTTGTCAGTCTGTGAGGTTGCTTCCTCTCAGCCCAGGAATCAGCCATTCCTGCACTTACCTCAACACCATCCCTGCTGTTACCCCTCCATTTCACATCCATTTCACATCCTTATTTTCTCTCTCTCAGTTCCTTACCTAACAAACTTCTCTATCGCTGCTGCTGTCAGCCCTGTCCCTTTACATTCTTGCCCTCTGCTGCTGTTTCTTTTTGTATAACAATTGTGCCATGTGAAGAAAAAGCAAAAAGGGCAACCAAGACAGCATCTTTTGCACATCGATCCCCCCTGCTCTGTTTTACTTCTCTAGAGCAGCCTTTGCTGCCAATCCTTCATTTCTGCTGGCTGTGTGCTGCAGGACTGAGGATCTTATTTTTTCTGGGCAGTGCATAACAGGCAGAGACTTAGATTTTGCCTGTGGCCTCTAGGTGCTACAGTAATACAAATAATAAGCCTCAGAAACAGACATGTTCTGATTCATGCTGTTTATGGCACAGGTCTATTGTAACTCTACTAATTACCAAGCTCCTATCGGAGCTAAAGAATTCTAATGATTTAGGGTTTGAATGGGCATGTTTCAAAGAGAGATTGCTTTCAGCTTGGTTTTGATGAGATCCATTGTGTTGGAGCTCCACTATCAATCAAGAAGGAAAAAGACATTAGCAGTCAGTTTAGCTGAAGTTTGGTTATTCACTATATTCACAGTGAGTTTTCTCACTATAATGGGATGCGATCTGCAGCACTGGTTTCATTAAAGGTCATGCGTGCTGCTTGTTGGGTATTCAGAAATCAATCTGAACTATTTGAAACAAGTATTTGGGGGCTAGGAGTTTGGGGAGTGGCTCTATACACACAGTAATCTAAAGCTTCTTAAAATCAATACCTAATTAATAATCACTAGTTAATAATTAATTAACAATCTCAGGCTCATTAATAACACTCAATCATCACTTTTATCATTATTTTTGAATGCCAGTTCTTTGGTTAGTAGTATCACTGGCTTGGAGATAACAAATTAATTCAGTACTTTTCAGTACTGCCTGCACAAAATTTTATTTAGGTCTTTTTTTTTTTTCCTTCTTCCCCCTTTTAATTACTGTTCAAAGTCATTTGACTGGATTGTTTAAAATAACAGTTGTTTTATAGCCAGTAATGGGACACATCTTTGAAACAGGAGCCTGGTACTAAAACTAATGCCATATGGGTAAAAGCCATTAAGGTGTACAGTATTTATGGCAGTTTCTTGTACCATTTGCACCAAAACACCTCGTTGTATCAGCAGGAAAATCATTTACATGCCTTCTAAAGGCTTGGGTGAAATAGCTGTGGAATTAAATGGAATTGTGTTCTCATTAAGTTCTTTAGAGAGCCATTGCATTAATTCATATAAGTTACCAACTGACCTGCTATCCTACAACCTGCTTGTTATTTTCTCCATTTTCCTCATCATACACAAGACCTGGGTGCACAAACCAAGATGTAACACCAGTATTTTACAATCCACACAAATAGAATATGGAATCCATCAGAACATTCCTCACTAGTCACAGCATGCATTGTGTGCCAACTCAATACCATTGACTTTTCATTGGCAGAGCAGGCTCATGCACAGTGCCAATTTTGGACATCCAGGAGGTGAGCCAGGAGCCTGGTAGGGGTGTAAAAGGGCAGGACATACATGCAAAGCAAAGGATGCTCCGAACAAGGGAAATTCTGTCTTAAGAAACCCAGTAGCCCACATGGTCCTGTCTCTCCAGAGATTTACCTGCAGAGCACCTGACACACTGAAGGTCTCTTCCCTTTCTCAGGGAAGGGGTTTATCTTTTGGTAAGTCTGCTTATGGGGCATTTTACAAGGACAAAACCAGGGTGAGTGGAACTGGTTGTTTTGCTTTCTGCTTTTTTTCGATGGCACTCTGCACTGAGTAATTGAGATCTGTACAGCTCAGTGAAGATGTAAATACTACTTGACCGCTAATTATAAGCATTGCCATAAAAATAAAAAGCCCATTAAATCTTCTACATCCAATTGACCCATTCCTAAAAACAGCTTCTGCTTTTTTGCCATTAAGCCAATTGAGTGAGATCAAAAGGGTTTCACAACCTGCACCAGCCAGGAACTTCAGGTGTTTTTTCATCTCTTTTTCACCTCAGCATCATGCCACCTAGGACAAGGCTGCAGTCACCCTACCCACACCCTCCCCATGCATCCTGGCGCTGAGGAGTTTCTGAAATCTGTAAGATCAAGGCTTGAGAGTTTCTCTGTGGCTTTTTTAAAATCAGATCTTATGAATATACTCTGATTATGGATTTCTGATTCGTCTTAAATCTGTAGCAACCAGCCTAAAAAAAAAAAAAAAAATCCTTGAAGTTATAAAGGTGAACTTAAAAATCAAACTAATGTAATCAAACCCAGGAAAAGTTAGGCTGATTACTCTTTGCTGGTGTTGTAAGTGGAGCTGCGGGCTTCCAAAACTAAAAATACTTGAGGGGAACCACTCAGAAGTACATAAACCTGACAAACAGACAGGATGTGGGTTTGTACAGAGGGCTTTGGTTTTAAATGACAGAATATCTGAAATTTCCCACTTAAAGTCTTTTAGAGGGGAAAATTCCAGTCACCTTCTGCATTCAGAACACCTTATATTCTAGTGTCTGTTTCAATGAAAGGCTATTTTCTTTGCGAATAAATTGTACTTGTGTTTTTCTCTTCTTGTCTTGTTTTAGAAAAACAATCGGTGCAAACACTGAATTAATACAAATAAATGCAAATATATTCCAGCAAGGTAGTTACAGGACTTATTAAAACACAAGTGCAAATATTTCAGCTGAACTATACTGAACAGGGCCATATTTCCAAAAATACCTCTCACTAACCGGTAAAATGCACAGTCAGCATTCAGGAACGTTTGAAGAAATGGTTCATAGCAGAAGAGCACAGGAACCATGATTTCACCACCTCCGATTACCTAATGATGTATAGAATCATAAACCACAGCAGTTTCCAAGAGAAATGGGGACATTCGAATACGTACGTCCAACACCACTGTCTGAAATGCAGGTGGCTGCAACAGTCACCACGT